GCGGTCACCCCAATCACCAGGCGGATTCGAGAGCTTGCTGCAAACTGCACGAGGCTTTATTGTAATTTAACGAACTAACCCCATGTTAGCTCGGGTCTTTCACCCACCCGCCATGGCGGACAGCTAGAAAAAGACGGCTCCTAAGGTCTCCCCAAAGATCTTATAGGGCAGCGTAAGGGGAGTGTCTAGGGGTACGCACAGGCTTACGATTGGTGTGCCTCCAGGCTTGGAGGGCTTGCCCTGTGTTGATTGGTCAACTGGTTGTTATGGCTCATAGGCCCTCCCAGGGTGGTTGCTATACTCTCTACGTCATTGCTGTGCGCTTGTCCGTAAAGCACACCCAGAGCCATAAAGCATAGCACCACCAGCTAACTTCTGATTGGTTCCTTGTCACAAGACAGGCATCTGACTTTCTGGTTTCTAGGACAAGGTCATAGAAGCACATGTTCGACCATTATGGCTGCCAAAAGGGAAGCCGGTTCCTTCACTTCCACCCCTGTGATACTGAAATTGGTTGAACCTAGGTACTTTCACATATGAAGTTAGAGCTTGGGTACTGAACTCCATCCTAGATACACACAATGGAGTATTACACAGCCTTGGAAAGGAAGGTAACTTTTTTTTTTTTTCAAAACAGGTTTCTCTGTGTAGCCCTGGCTGTCCTGGAACTCACTCTGTAGACCAGGCCCTCCTCAAACTCAGAAATCTACTTGTCCCTACCTCCAAGTTCTGGGATTAAAAGTGTGTGTATCACCACTACCTGGCTAAGGTAGGAAATGCTGATGCCTACCTCAACATAGATGAATCCAGAGGATATCATGCTGAAGAAATAATTTCTTCACCAAGGTGCAAAGGAGTCAAATTCATCCACAAAAAGTAGACTTATGGGTGCTAGGAGTTAAGGGTAGGGAAGGGTGTTAATATTTGATAGGGGCAGTTTGTTCTGCAAGTTAACAAAGTGTTTTTAGATGCTGGTGTGATGATTGTGCAATGCAATCGGTTTAATACCACCCCCACTACACTTTTTAAAATGCAAGGTAATAAGCTTTATATTACCTGTAAACAGGAAGAGGAGGAAGAAGAGGCTAACTTGAGGTAGGATCCACCCACCCTTCCCCTCAGCCCCCCACCCGTGCCTATGTGTTGGGGCTGTCTTACGGTTTTCATTGCTGTGATAAAATATCATGATCAAAAGCAAATTCAGGAAGAAAGGGTTATTTCAGCTTACAACTTTCAGGCCACACATCATCACTGAGGGAAATTGGGGCAGGAACTCAAGGCAGAAACCTGGAGGCAGGAATTGAAGCAAAGTTACTAGCTTGCTCCTCATGCCTTGCTTTCTTAAATAACTCGGGATAACTTGCCCAGGAGTGGCATCACCCACACCAAATCACTGATGAAGAAAATGGCCCCACAGGGTCCACCCAGATTGCCTGTAGACATTTTTTTCGAGGTTTCCTCTTCCCAAATGACTCTCACAGGAGCCTTCTTGGGTATGCTCCCCAGCCTCAGGAACTCAACTTTGGAGACTTCTAGAAGCACAGCCTGAGGTACTTAGGAAGCTCCTGCTGATTGAATGATCAGGCCCCATCCTACAGGGCCAGGCTGGAGAGATAGCTCATTGGTTGAGAGTATGCTCTTTCTTGCTGGGAGGTGGTGGTGCACCCCTTTAACCCCAGCACTCAGGAGGCAGAGACAGGCAGATCTCTGTGAGTTCCAGGACAGCCTACTCTGCACAGCTTACAACTGCCTAATAACGCCAACTCTGGAGGATCTGATGTCCTCTTCTGGTCTCTATGGGTACTCCCACACATGTGACATACATTCACACACATGTATAAAAATAAATCTTGAAAGATTATTTTTTATCAAAATTGGGACACCACAGGGAAATTCTATATTGCTATGTCACTTTAAGGCACATCTGGTTCAGGGCATCTTGCTGTGGACCTCTGTGCTCGCCACTGACAGAAGCTGTATAGCGGCCAGTCAGCACTGCTGACTACTAAGTGAAGCGTCTGGACCTTCCGCCCACATCAGTGCTACTGGCCCACAGACGTCTGTGCTCTGAGGAGCTCCTCTGACTGGCTGGCACCTCACTGCTTTCCTTGTGAGCAGACCATACAACATCCTCAACACTTGTTCATTCTTCTTTTTTAAAAAATGATTGTGTGTGTGTGCACTTGTGTGGTGTTTATATGTGTGTATGTGTGTGTGCTTACCCACACTGTGTGGTGTTTATATGTGTGTATGTGTGTGTGCTTACCCACACTGTGTGGTGTTTATATGTGTGTATGTGTGTGTGCTTACCCACACTGTGTGGTGTTGATATATGTGTGTGTGTATGTGTGCTTACCCACACTGGGGCATGTGGAGGCTAGAGATGGGCACTGGGTGTTTTCTTCTAGAGTGCTCCGTTTTGTGAGATAATGTCTCTCATTATACCTGGAGTTCACCATTTAAGCTAGACTGGCTGGTCAGTGATCCCCAGGATTTGTTGGGGTTACATGTGCACACCACTGTATCTGGCTTTTGTATGTGGAAATCCAAACTTAGGTCCTCATATAAGCATTTTACCCACTGAGCCTTCTACCTGGCCTCCACATGCTCATTCTTAGAAATACAAAGGAATTACATAATGCTCTCCTCTAGGCATGGCTTGGCCATTTTGCAATAAGAGCAGCTCTTTACTGGCATGACACACTCACAAGCTGGAGTCCATTAGCATGTCCTCACAGAGGAGAGGGAGAGATCATGAAGCAGTTTAGCCATGCAAGGCCCCTTCCCTAATGGTTGCTGGGTTGGTGGTATAGCTGTCTGTAAGTTGCCCATGTTCTTGTAAATAACTCCAAACAAACTAATTGGTAAACTGGGCATTGTGGTGCAAGCCTTTAACTCCAGCACTTGAAAGGCAGAGGCAGGAGAGTCTCTGTGAGCTCTAGGCTAGCCTGATCTATATAGCGAGTTCCCAGGACAGCCAGAGCTACACAGTGAGACTCTGTCTCAAAAAAATAAAACAAAACTCAATGGTTTATCAAGTTAGACTTAGGTGGAACCATTTTTTGTTTGTTTGTCTTTTGTTTTGAGACAGGGTCTCTCTACATAGGCCCGGCTGTGTTGAAACTCACTATGTAGACCAGGCTGGCCTCCAACTCATAGAGAGATTCACCTGCCTCCCAAGTGCTAGAATTAATGGTGTGTGTCACTGTGCCTGGCTATGTAGAAGCAGGTTTTTGTGTGTCATTGGTGATCTAACAAGGGGTGAAAAGAAGTTTGTTTGTCACCCCAGTAAAAGTTCATGCAACAAAAGGTGTTGAATAAAACAACAATCTTCTTTTAAATAGTTTAATAGTTTTCACTTAAATAAGGTTTTGGTGAGACTCACCATATCTAAAGATAATCTCTAACAGGCATCTTAGAGAATTCATTATCAGTTCATAAAACCACCAGCTCCACAAAGTACAAAAGGGGAGGTAGAAAAACAAGGTCAGAAATCAGGGGGAGGTTTCACCATGTTCTGGGGTCTGTGATAGCTGGAGTGTCCATCCAGGCAGAGTCCAAGGAGTTCCAGGCACCTTCCTACCCAGGACACATCAGTAGTGAAGAGGGATCCACAGGAAGAGAACCCGGGGCTGTGGAGGGTCTGCAGAGGCAGGCAAGGACCTCTTGCCACTGCACACTGGTCCAGCTAGAGTGCCAGCCTGACTTCTGGGGAGATGCAGAAGCCATGGCTTCTCTAGCACTGTGGTTCTTGTGGGCCTGTCTTACCATGGGGACATGGTTGAATGTCTATAGACATCTTGGGTTATCACTACTGGAGAGATGGAGGTTGGAAGATGCCTGGAGTTGGCAGGTGACAGAGCTGCTCCTGAACATCTTCCAGTACACAGAACATCTTTAACACAGAAAAAACTTATTGTAGAAACAACCCACGTGGACTGGAACTGTGGAGAACTCCCATCAGCAATGCAGATTCCACAACAGCAGGGAGCAGTCCCACTGAGTCTGAGAGGAGGGCCAGATGGTCCTGACTTGAAGATGGGGACACCGAAGCTCAGAGAGGCCATGACCCTACTCCTGACATGGGCCTGTGTGGGTTCGGGTGTCTGTCTCCACCTATCTCTCCAGGAGACTGTGCTCATACATGTGAGGTGCAAATTCAGGATTTCACCAACACAGCTGTTGTCCTTAGGCTGTTGACATCAGGGTCCTGGGTGGGACTAGATAGGTAGACAGCTACAGGTCCTCATGAGTAGGGGCCAGGTCCACCCTCTGGGCCTTCCCAAACACGAGAAAGGTACCCAGTCCCAGGTTGCTGATGATGGCCACCAGGTTGAAAATACACGTCCAGGAACCAGTGGCCTCAATCAGGTAGCCACTTAGACACACGCCTATCACACCTGGACAAGATAGGCAGAGAAACCCTGATTATAGGTATCAAATGGGCGTGGTCACAGTTATGTAACAAGGGTTTAAGAAGGAGGGAAGTGAGCACTCTGCTCTCTCTCACTTGGCTGAGCTGACTGGGAAGCATTTCTGGGTCTGTCCTGCTCAGGTGCAAAACTGGTCACTGGTTCCCTTTCTTATTTTCCCCTAATAAACTACTGGTTATTAACCTATCTCTGACTCCACTTTGTAATCATCACTGACTGGTACTCCATGGAAGATGGCCCCTCACATCAGTGAGCTCCAGGGGCAGGGCAGGACAAAGTATAGATGCCCTGAAGACCCTGGGGTAAATCTCAAAATCTGAGCTGTGGGCCACAGGAGTCTCAGAGGACAGAGACCTCAAAGGCCATTCCGAATCACATATTGATGGCATCCCCAATGCCATATCCCACCCAAGGGAAACAAAGCAGGAGGTAGAGTGGGCCCCTGTCAGCCCAGGTGCTAGGTGGAGGGATTAGGGAGTACCCTAAACTACAGGACTAATTAACGCTTGGAGTCAGTCAGGGGAAAATGGCCTATGAGCACCCCCCATCAGCCAAGTCCCATGATACTTCAGCTGGCATATCTGTGGTCGTCCTGGGCCGTTTTGGGCTTGTGCTCTACCATGACTTTGGGACCTACTCCGTAGCATTGGATGAGGGAGATGGGTGAATCCCATTTAAGATCCACCCTAAGCTCTTTTTCTTATTGATCCAAACCAAAAAACAAGAGGACCTCTGGGCCTGGGCCTGGAGCCACCCCTTACCTGCCAAGGCCCCTGCAGTGTTGGCCACACCTGTGAACAGGAAATTGAGGAGACAAACAACATGAGAAGACACCCTCTTGTTCCTACTGCCCAACCACCTGGGGGTAACCCACATGACCAGGGAATGAAGCAGGGATAAGCAAGGGGCTCACCAAACAGAAAACCAGCACAGGATGGGGCCAGGTCCTGAATGTTGACTGAAATACCACTATGGGAAACAGGAAGGCAAGCATGTGAATGACCACAGGCTTGGCCACCTCCACCTGGCCTGAAGGGGCTACTAGAGCATAAGAGAAGGTTATAAGTCACCAAAAGAACCCAGACCTGCAGCTGCTCCTACTTGCCAGGTGATGCTGGCACCGTCTACCCCGTACCCAGCTCTCCCACTCTCTTACTGACACAACACCAGAAGCTGCTCCTGAGGATGAACACAAGGCCAGAAGAGCACGCTTGCAGCAGGCTCACTGTCTGTTCATTTGAAACAGGCTTTGAACTGGGCTCCTAATGCACCTGAGATGCCTGAGACTGCGGTTGCTCACAGTAAGAGAAAAGTTGCAAAAGAAGGGAGCAGGCTGAAGAGGGGCATCAAGCCTGGTGCTTATGTTCACTCCTCTTCCTGGGCCCTCCTCCCAGTATGTGGGGGAGGCGTATGCTGTTATTTTCTTGAATGACCCTGACGCAGTCAGTACCCAGATCCGCTCACTGAGTCAGATTATGGTGAGCTTTCCCTAACTCCATCTTCATAACCCCCCCCCCAACCAGAGTGCACTAACACCTGGCAGCCCTGTGGGATGGGACCGTGCCCTCTTACCTGTGGTTGAAGGTCTGGAAGCCAATGGAAGCTGACGCAAAGATCATAGCCTTGAGGAAGCTTGTGGTATGACCCAGACACAGGGCAAAAATGCTTGACAGACCAAGGCCCATCACCTGCAGGACAGGACTGGTGAGGGGCCAAGAGCCATGCTGGCCAATACAGCTCATCCTGTCTCGGCTCCACCCAAGGACCCCTCATATTCTGAGCAAGATCAGGATGATTCTACCTAAAAACCCTTCCCAGGCTGGGCTTCCCTACTCTATATTCCCCGGGCCCAAATTGGGCCAGAAAACATGTTCAGAACTCAGAGAAGGTTCTCAGGTCACCCAATACAGATCCCAGAGCATCTTCCGGGGTCCACCTACAGCAGCCCCTTTCTGGGTCCCATTGACGTGAACTGACCTCTGAGGGTTTGGTATTCCACAGGCTTCCTTCCAAATCTGAGCCAACCCTGCTAAGAGCAGGTGTTGCTTCTGGGGCCATGAGACCAACAGTGCAGTTTTCCCAGCCCATATCTTTGATTTTAGCCTGGTTCCAGAGATCAGGGGATTTGAGTACATATCCCTCAGGTCCCAGGAGTCCAGAACAAAGTAGGGATGTCCACAGAAGGATGTGGTGGTTTGAATAAGAACGATCCCCACAGAGTCATACATCTGAATACTTGGCCTCTGGTTGGTGGAACTGTTTGGGAAGGATTAGATGTGGCCTTGTTAAAGGAGGTGTGTCACTAGGGGTGGGCTTTGAGGTTTCAAAAGACCACACCATTTCCAGTGTGTCTTTCTCTGCCTTGTGCTTGTGTCTCAAAATGTGAGCTTTCAGCTTCTGCCCCAGGGCCATTCCTGCCTGTGCCACCATGCTCCCCACCATGATGGTCATGGACTCCAGCCCTCTGAAACTGGAAATTCTAAATAAACTCTTTCTTCGATAAGTTGCTTTGGTCACAATGCCTGATCACAGAAATAGAAAAGTAGGACAAGGGATTCAAACAGTTTTCCTACCTGCATGAACTTACGCACTGCAATCACTCTGTAACCTGGGCAGGGAGACAGAACCATGATGAGTTTCCATCAGCTTATCTGGGTGACCCTTAAAGGTGTCCTCAATGGGTTCCCACCCAAAGTCACAGAAAAGGAATGGGTGCCCAAGGCAACACCTCAGGGTTCAAGATAGGAGATTTCCTATCATGGACCAAACCCTCCCATGTACAGTATGTGTGTCAGAGGGTTTCCCGTGGTGCTGTTTGGTAGAAACGAGGTAGGGCAGCCCCATGGGCTATTACAAAAGTGTCAGCTATCAGGCAAGCTTAGTTCAGTTTCTCTGAGTTTCCCCAAATTATCTGATCTTACCACAGTGAACATGTGCTATTTCTATTGAGGAGAACCTGTATCCTGAACATGAGCATACATTGCCCTATGGGGCTGCAGTATGGCCCCTGGAGCTCTGGAAGATTCAATAGTAAATCTGGGTACCTATGACATTTGATGCGCCAGACATTTGATGCCTTCCTTTCCTGGTCGAGGGTCTAGGATTGTGTTCACTAGGGTCCCCTTGCTGCCCCCAACCCTAACAGTTGAAGGGGAAACCAAGAAAGATACAATGGACTCCTCAGGACAGCCAGCATCCTTTTGAGCAGACTCTAAAGGATAGTCTGTCTGTCACAGGATGGTGGTATGGCCTTTCCCTGTCGATGCAGCTGCACTGCCAGAGGGGAGTGAGACCCCCCTCAGGCTGTGGTTTTACCCAGGACGATTTTTCCCAACACTCACCCTGACTGATGAGGCGATCAGAGAGGAAGCCACTGAACAGGCTGGCGGGAATTGCCAGCAGCCAGGGCACTACATTGAAGATCCAGCCCTGCAGGGAGAGTTGCAGCCTCAACGGTGGCCAGGGTGGCACCTAGCCTCTGGATGACACCCAGGCAAGAGGACCACCCCAGGTTCACTATGTCAGTTCAACTCTGTCCACCAACAGGCTGGGCCTAAGAGCAGAAGGTCCCAGGAGGGTAGGCCTTAACTAGTCCATTACCAGCCCCCTGGGCAAGTATTGAGGCCACTAATGGCTGATTCCTGAAGCCAGGCTCCCCTTATTGTGACAGGACTGGAGCCAAGGAAGTCTGCCTGGGAATGTGAAGCCCAAGAACTCCACTGTTCCGGGTCTCCCTGGATGTGGCATCAGCAGGTTAGCTAGCCAGCCCTGAACGAGGGGTCCCTCTTGAGCAGCAAGTCAAAATCTTGGGCTGGGGTAGCTGTAGCTATTATAGTGTGTAGCTCTCATAGCCTTGAACTCCCAAATGGACTGTCATCTCAAGGCCTGAAGGCCACATGGTGATAGAGTTGCCAAGCAAAAGGTGTCTGCCCTTGCACAGGAGCCTTTATAGTCCATGCTTAGCCCTCTTGATCCTGTGAGGACCCAGGCAGCACTACCTACCTTGGAGTAGGGGAAGGTCTCCTTGAAGAAGGTGGGCAGCCAGGAGAGTAGAATGAAGAAGGAGCAAGCCGAAGACAGCTGAGAGAAGACGGCTGCCCTGTGTGGGGCACCAGGCTCAGGGTTCTACCCAGCTGCCAGCCCCTCCTCACACTGACTCCATATGGGACCCGGTCCTACCCGCAGGACACTAAGGTCCTACCCTCTGAAACATGGGGCATTTGCTGGAGTGTCAGGACTGGGTCCTGCCAAGCATAGCCAGCTCCATGTCCTGTTCTCACCCACGCTTGGCCTGGCCACGTCAACCCTAGCTCACCAGACAGAGGGCTTCCGGAAGAGTTGTCTCCAGGGCACTTTGGAGGGCCTGGCCATAGGCAGGCCTTGTGCCAGGACACCAAGGGCCAGAACAAGGTCTAGGGGAACAAACGATTTCACAATGATAACTCTCAGGACCAGCAGCCCACACAGCAGCCATTTAGGAGCAGCTAGGCAGAGGAGTCAGGGTGCATCTTATTGTCCCTTCTAAGGAGTGGCTATCAGGTGGCAACACCCATGAGAGTACAGTTCTGTGTCTAACCTGGGCCTGGGCCTGGAGTCCCTCTGAGGCCACGTCTTGCTAAATGAAGATTCCACCTGCTAGATTCCCTATGTCAGCCTTAGCCTTGATGGAACAATATGATGAAAATCCAGGGCTGGGTCAGACTAAGGGATCAGCACTTGAGTTTTCAGAGCTGGTAGCCCTGGTCACCCTGTAGAGCAGACTGGCCTCAACTCAGAGATAGGCTCACTTCAGTCTCCCAAGTGCTGGGATTGTAGACACGTACCCACTTGCCCATGCTTTTTTGTAATATTGCCCCAGCAAAGTGGCTTGGGAGATTAGGTAAGGAGACTCCATCCATGCTGGGGTGAGACCAAGCTAGATTTGAGTGGAATTGTTTCTTTGATATGTTGTTGGTGCCCTGTCTGGGATGAGCACATGTTTATTTGGTCTTTCCAGAAAAAGTTCATGCAAAGGGTGTCTGAAGCACTGCTGCAAGGGGAAGAAACACAAGGACTGGCCCGTGTGGCTGCCATTACCTTTCTCGTTCAGCAGATACCTGTACACGTAGTATACCCAGAGCAAGGTGAGGCCCCCGGAGAAGTAGAAGACACTCTGCCAGCCACACCAGTCCAGGAGCACCGAGCCTACACCCCCAGTCACCAGGGTCCTGGGAGACACAGAGGAGTGCTGCAGTGACCGTGGTGACTATCACAAATGAGTCAAGCCCCCGGGGAAAGAGGCTGCTCAGAGGCCTGCCTCACCCATTGTGCTCTACAGGGTGGGAGGGCTGGGGCAAGGGGAATTTGGGAGCAACTAAGGACACTCAGCACGGGGCCTACTGCCACTGTGTTTTAAATTTCTTTCTTCCAGACCTTCAAATTGACACACAATTTGTCATGTGAATGCGTGGGAGAAAAAAGGTAACGATAAAAGGGTAGCTTAGGAAACACTGACGTGAAAATATTCCTTTCTTTTCTTTTTTTTTCTCCATATATTATAAAGGATAATGAAAAGTTTCTACACCCTGATAAGCCTCTCTGACGATGCAGCCATCCAAATCAGACCAAATCAAACCAAATTAGAAAAAGCCCATGTTTAATGGATACAACGCTCCCGGATGGCCTTCCAGCCCCCAGAGAGGAGATGGGGAAGGCAGACAGTTTAAATACCCTGTGGGAGTGGTCTTGAGCATCTCTGGGGGAGGGGCCATCATTTGGCAGGCTTTCTGAGATACAGCAGGGTTTGGAGGGAGCTGGGGGAGGGAGGCTTGGGTGGAACCTCTACGGTAATATTCCAGATTCTTTGGGTATATGGATGCCAGGGGCTGGGGGCGAAGCTTCCACCATAACAGATAATATTCCAGAAACACTTCTAAGCGCAAAACCAAAACCAAACCCCACAAACCTTCCTCTTCCCTTTAACTCCAGGGTACTATGGTCCCAGAAGCAATAAAGGGTGGCTTTGCCTCACCCTTCAACCCCCACCCATCACCCTGTGCACTCAGCCAAGAGAGAGAGAACACTGGGCTCTGGTGTGAGGTTGAGCTAGCTGCCTTCCATCTCCCTGTGTTCTCATCTGTGCCCCAGGCACAGCGCCTGGGGCAGTATCCTACCCTTGGCTGGGGCAGCACTTTCTCTCCTCATCCCTCCTGGCCATTCACAGGACCCTGTCTGCTGTGAGGGACACCAGAGCTGAGATTGAAGATGTATACTGGATCCCTCTGTAGAATCTGAGCTTTCTTGTTCCTTAGACATTCACACTTCCCAATGTGAACTGTGCTTTTAGTGTTAAATCAGGCCACCTTAATCAGCAGAGTTGGCCCCTCACACAGGGGGCCTCTGTGATCCCACTTTCCCCCCCTCTCCTCCCCACCCTGAACTCAGCAACAGTAGAGCCAGGCCTGGATGATTCAGGAAGTCCCCATTAACATCCCAGGAGCCCACCCAACATACCAGATAGTGGCCCTTCCTCCATGCATGCTCACCAAGAATGTCTCACAGAGGGTGGGGCAGTCTCTGGCTCCCCTCTGGCTCCCTTAGGATAAAGCTGCATGCTCACCCAATCCACATGGCAGAGCCCCAGCTCACAGCATCCAGAAAGGCAGAGACATGCTGGGATGGTTTAACTTTTATTGCTAACTTGACAAGATTTAGAATCATCACAGAAACACACCTCTGGGTGTGTCAGAAAGGTTAAACTTCGAACAGGGAGGAAGAACTATCCTGAGTGTTGGAGTTCTGGGCTGAATAAAAAGGAGAAAGTGAGCTGGCATGGTGGCTTGCACCACCACCACCTGGCCTAAGTCCTGTCTTCTTAATCTGCTTCTTGTCAATTGGTTTGTCACAGCAACAAATGCTGCACTTGTCACAGACCTGAGGAACAGCGACCGCCTGCCGCTGGAACCTAGCACTAGCCAGCAGAGCCAGTCCTCAGGCTCCTCTACTTTGACCACCACTGCTGGACTTGAAGGATGGTGAAAGCTTCCTGAATCCCTGGGAGGTAGGGACCTTACCCGAACTGGGAGCCAGCGCCCACAGTGCTGTAGGTAAAGGCTCTTTCACTCTCCTGCACTCTCTGAGACAGCAGACTGGTCAGGGCTGGGAAGTAAACACCTGAAACAGCAGAGAATGCTGTCACTGGGTGCCCAGAGAGAGCCAGTGAGGACAGGACACCATTTGGGTTTGGGCTGTGAATCCAGAGGGCGTCCATATCTCCTTTCCATTACCTCACTGGGCTGTAAGGGACCAGCAGGTTGTCATCCAAATAAATACCTTGGTTATACAGAGTAGACTTTTGAGCAAAGGGTAGCATACAGCACAAGGTGTGCATGGTGCTCTGTGCACACTTTCCTGGCAAGGTTGAATGGCAACATCAGAGGGAGGAAGCTGGAGATGGCCCTTACCTTGGAGCAGACCCATGAGGATTCGAGAGAATGTCATGAAGGCCAGGTGGCCACTGCCAAGGTGGACGAGCAGTGGCGTGACGACAGTAATGAAGCCCCAGGTGGAGGCTGAGAGCAAGATGACCTTCTCACCTCCGAGGCTGGAGGAGACATGGGGATGGGATGAAGTCCTGTTTGAGAGGGCTGAGGGGTACCACCACTAACCACTGTACAGAGTCTTGTGGTTGGCACTGCAGCCACCTGCCCTACAGAGGAGGGGCCCAGGGTGGAGTGCAGTGTATGGAACTGAGTCTGGCCTGTATGTTTCATGTTTCTTACCCACTGCCTTAGAAATGCCACACTAGACCTCCTCCTCCCAAATATTTGTTGAGCTCTTCCCCCCTCGGTCCCTCCTCTCCTGTGTGCAAGGGCAGGACTGACCTACTGCCTCTCTGAGGCACCCAGATGATGCACCCCCTTCAAGCCTGGGCAATGGGGAGAGGGGGTTGGTTACCGATCCCCAAGGTGGCCGCCCACCACCTGAGTCAGGCAGTAGCCCCAGAAGAAGCTGCTGAGCACGATACCAGCCTCCTTCTTGTTCCAGCCGAAGTCCTGGCTCATGGCAACAGTGCAGACAGGCATGGTGACTCGAGCACAGTACAGCAGGCAGGTGCCCAGGAGAAGCATCCCTGTCCATGCTTGGCACTCAGGCCTGTGAGACACAGAGAGCAGTCAGGACCTGGAGAGGGCCCCTAGATAGCCTTGATCACTCAGATAGGGCCAATACTAAACCCAGGGGGCTGAGAACAGTACAAGAGACCTCAGGATAGGGGCCTGAGGTTAAACACAAGACAGCACATTCACAAGGCTCAGAGCCTGGGTCCATGCTTCTGACTTCCAGGACTGTACCAGGATCCCAAGTTGAGGACCAGACACTAGCACTGTCCATATTCTCAAGTCGATTGTTGGCCACAAGGATGCAGAAAGGGAGCCAGAACTAGCAGACAGCTAACAAGCTTCAGGGCAATGTGCTAAACAGGGGAATCCAAAGGAGACAAGGTTCAGAGAGAGAAGGCTCCCAGGGAGGAGTGCAGCCATCCCTCCTCCAAGGTCCCCAGGAAAGGTCTTCAGTCTTCCCAGAAAGGGAGGCAGTCAGGAGAGGATATAGAACAGTGGTCCCAGAAAGGGAGGCATAGAGGATATAGAACTGTGGGGGGGGGGAGGGATTTGCCCTGGAGGAATTCCGGCAGGGCAAGGTTGCTGGGCAGCTAGATCCCACGTAGCAGTAGAACGGGGAGCTCAGGGCTCCACTTGAGTGGAGTTCATTGTACACTGGACAGTGGGGAGGCAAAGAGCCTCAGAAGGGGAAGAGACCCTGGCTAGGCTCTTAGAGTGAGGTGTGTGGCCCAACTTATGGGGGCCAGGTTCAATCTTCCTGAGAAGAGCTTTGAAGGTAATTAACCTCCTGGTGTATTTGAGGTCACATGGTAGACTGGTGGGCTTAGCTGGATGGAAGGGTAGCAAGCAAAGTGAGCTCTCTCTCTCTGCTCCACCCTCAATCTTACTGTGCAGACTAGCTTAAAGTGATGGAGCCTAGGGTGACTCCAGACTCAAAGCAATCCCCCTGCTTCAGTCTTCTGGGTACCAGACCTACAGGTGTAAGCTACTAACTAGCTTGCTGCTGCTGCTTCTCCTTTTTTAAAGACAGGGTCTCTCTATTTTGTCCTGGAGCTCAATGTGTACACCAGGCTGGCCTCAACTCACAGAGATCCTCCTGCCTCTACCTCCTGAGTGCTGGGATTAAAGGCATGTGCTGCTAGCTGCTGCTTCTTCTTCTTCTTCTTCTTCTTCTTCTTCTTCTTCTGCTTCTTCTTCTGCTTCTTCTTCTTCTTCTTCTTCTTCTGCTTCTTCTTCTGCTTCTTCTTCTTCTTCTTCTTCTTCTTCTTTCTCTTCCTCTTCCTCTTCCTCTTTTCTTCTTCTTTGTTTGTTTTTTGATACAGGGTCTTTCTGTGAAACAGACTTGGCTGTCCTGGAACTCTCTAAAGACCAGGATGGTCTCGAAACTCAGAGAGCTCCATCTGCCTTTGCCTCCCGAGTGCTGGGATTAAAGGCATGTGCCACCAACGCCTAGCTTCTTAAACATTCAAATTTTGGATTAACATCCACCCAGATAATTCTGCTGACAGCTTGGGTCTGACAGTGAAACAGGAAATATGGTATGCCCAGACTCATCTGCTCTGGCTCCTTGCTCTTCAGGGAATTTGGATATCAGCAATTTTAGGAGGGATGGTGATGACAGACATGTAAGTCTGGGTACCGCTAGTGAGTTTGATCACACATGCATAGACCTAAGGTCCACATTATTTCCCTCACCTCACCCTGTAAAGACCCCAGGTTTCTACTGGAGAGACATCTGATTCCTTCTTTTTCTTTCTAGCGCTGGGAATCAAACCTAAGATCTCACTCTTGCTGGGCAAGTACTCAATCACTGAGCCATGTCTCTATTGGGAGGTGGATTTGAGACATGCTCTCCTGTCTCTGTGTGTAGACACCTGGCAAGCAGATTCTCTTTTGGTTTTGGTTCTTGGCTTTTTCGAGACAGGATTTCTCTGTGAAACAGTCCTGGCTATCCTGAAACCCACTCTGTAGACCAGGCTGGCCTTGAACTCACAGAGATCTGCCTGCCTCTGCCTCCTGAGTGCTGGGTCTAACGGCACTTGCCACCACCACACGGCTCAGATTCTCTCTTGTAAGAGCTCATTGTTTGAGTGACTGACATAGTGTATAGTGGCCCGATGCCACAATAGGACAGTGGAGAACGGCCTTTGGCCCATGAGTTCCTCCTCTTAAAGACACCTTGCACATATCAATATGGATATTCCACACAGCACTGGTCAGTCAGTCATCAGCCCCAACCATCTAGGACAGCAATGGAGAATGTGGGTCTGGATGCTTGGGGATTCTGCATGACTGTCCTCATGATGATTCTAGAAGAAATCCACAGTTCAGATCTTTAAAATATGAAATGGTTTTGAGATCTGCGGAAGTGGATACTCACTACAGGAGAAGAAGAGAGGGCTTGAGGGAGGGCATCCTTCCTGGGAGGGGGCAGACAGGAGGGTGGCATGACTGGACACAATCTTTTGGAGGTGGGCTGGAGTTTTGAGGCAGGTGACACTGGCCACCTCCCAACAATGGCACAGACAGAGCAGGGAAGAGACAAACTAGCAGATATCCAGCCAGAGTACCAAGGTTGTAGTTGGGCTGGGTCCAGAACACCATAGAGTAAGTTCTGGACAGAGTCACAGGCAAACAGGAGCAGAGTCAAAGGTGAGGGCCAGAAGGCAGAATGGACAGCCCAGTCAAAGATAAAATGGCAGAGAAAAGACTTTGAGCCACAGGGCAGGAACCCAAATCGTGTGATCAGTGTCTAGCAGGGGAAGAAGGTGACATAGACGGCAAAGAGCCTCAGTCAGAACAGAGGGGGGCTAACAGCGAGACAGGTAACAGATGATATGGGTTCCTGGGAGCATCATATCCTGTACTCCCCAAAAGATGTGTGGGGTCCTGGGGACCAGCTGCAGGCCCCAGACTATATTACCAAGAATCTTCCAGGGAGGTCAAGGGAGGTGGAAACTTCTGAAGTCTGCTCTGGTAATGGCCAAGGTGGTGTCCACTGTGTGGCAAGGAACCTCTGAACCCCAGAGTCAGGAAGGAACCTCTTGAGTAGGTCCAAGAAGGGTTGAGCCCTCTGCCACCTACTTGGGGACCCCAGACACTGGGGAGGGCAGCAAGCTGTGACCCTTACCCAATATGATGTCAACAAGTTCCCTGCTGGTTGAGGGGGAAGGCTCAGAGCTCAAGCTACTCTCAGGCTGGGGTCCCCAGGAACTACTTTTTTTTTCATAGTCAGAGAAGACAAGGCATGGGTAGGTTAGCAGGCAGGAGGGGATCGCCATCTGGCAATACTTCGTGTGAGTTCAGAGGGTCTGAAGCTTATTAGTTGGGGAAACTGCCAAGAGTTGGTTCAAGTAAAAGGTTTTGCCCCTGTTAGCTGGTGCCACATGTACATGACATACTCTAGCTTGATTCTTTCTCAGGCCTCTAGGAGCCGGGCCTTCCCCTCCTGTCTCCTGAAGATTTGACAGAACTCTTCCCAGTAAGTGCCCAGAACACAACCCCGCCCCCCAACAACACCCCAAGTCTGCTTTCACTTCTTGTCAGGATAGTGTCCTGAGCAAACATTGCCACTGGATTATTGAAAACACAGGGCTACCAGCCACACATTAAAGCTGCCCTGGAGGGTGTCCTGCTTGCCCTGAAGTGCTGCCTCACTTGCTGAAGCCCACCCCTAGGTGAGGACTCTATGCAGTATAGGTGGCTTGTTTTAGCTGACTGGAGGCACAAGGGTCACAACAGGAGCCCAGGAGCAACACTAACTCACCCGCTAAAAGTCACATCATCTGAAGGTATCTTAAAAAGGAGCTTTATTCTGGGGCTGGAGAGATGGCTCAAAGGTTAAGAGCACTGGTAGCTCTTCCAGAGGTCCTGAGTTCAATTCCCAGCAACCACATGGTGGCTCACAACCATCTGTAATGAGATCTGGTGCCCTCTTCTGGCCTGCAGCCATACATGCAGACAGAACACAGTGTGCACAATAAAATAAATCCTTAAAAAGAAGGTGGGGGGGGGGTTATTCCTTTATGCAAACCACCCAGCATGCCACTCTTTCTAGGTACATCTGTGGCTGCCCAGCCTGGTTACTGCTGGAGACCAGTTAGAAGCAGGAAGCCAAATAGACCCCACCCTCCAGATGAATAGTGTGTTTAGCTTCCTGATGGCCATGGGAGTTCAGAAAAGGCCTAGGCAACATCAAAGTCCTCCTGGAGGGTCCCTACCAGACAGACCAGCTGCCTAAGGACTAGTTAGAACCCCAGCTCCAAGATCCCTCCTCTTGCTGAAGGCTCTTTAGGACCAGGGGCTTGAGTCAGGATGCCTGTAAAGTTCCACCTGCCTGACCGGAGCCAGAGCTCAGGCTGGCACTCTCAGCGGGTATGATACTTCCTCCTAGACTTCTGCATCCTTGGCTTCCTGTAGATCGGCCTGTGCAGAGCATCCGGGGCTGAGCAAACAGGTGGTCACATGGCCCTTGGTTCAGAAAGGGGAAATGTGCTGGCACCAGTGGCCAGGGTACCAGACGTGCCAGAGTGTACCCCAGTACTATACATGCCTCCCTAACTCAGCCACCACCAACCTCCCCACACTCCCAAATTTGCCTCCCAAGTCACAAAGAGGACTGGAGGAGACGGTGGGTAGACAGAGTACTTAATGCTGTTACTATTACCCCCACATGAGTTGAGGGTGACCTTGACCCTGCAAAATCCCCCAGAATTCTCAGCCACCACCTCTGCCAAAGGTGACTGGAGCAAGCACACAAGGAGAGCAGTAAAGACAAGGGCCAGGCAGAGCCATTAAATTGTAACCTACAGCAAAATTGGCCCAACAGTTCAGAGTTCTCAGAAGGCCCAGGGTAGTGCCTCTGGGGGCCAGGTGAAGCAGAGGTGTGGGGATAAACATGGGGTAGGGAGGGAGGCAGTAAATCAGAGAGAGAGAGCTGGCACACAGTGCTCCTCTTCTGGCCCTCCCCCTAATTGTCACCTGCAGGGTGGAGATCAGGTTCTGTGCCTCTCAGTGCCCTCCTGTTGTGCCTCTCAGCTGCTCTAGGAGGACCTTGAAATTCCTCCCAGTAGATCCAGGGTGTGAGCTCTTTTATACTGAGTCTCCTCTTTGGCGCTCCAGTTTGAACCCTCTCATGAGGTCCTGTAGCCAGATGCCACCTTCTAGCACCTGGTTTCTGTGGGGCTACTTGCCTGGAGGGCAGTGGAGACCGTGGGAATGGAATATGAATGAGAGTGGGTAACTGCTGCTTTCCTTCTTAGTTAAGAAGCCTTGCAAACTTGGGACCCGACTCTGTGATACAGAGGCACTGCTCGGATCCCTAGGCTGAGTATCTGTCTAGCTCAGTGCTCCCACTAAGTGCACCGGACCTCAGAATACCAGCAGGCAGAAGGGCGAAGGAGCCATTTGCCAATTTTGGTATTTGATTAGAAGAGGAGGGTCCCTTTACTGGGTTGAGCGTTTATGTCCTCCCTCTTCTTGGGGGCTAAGGCTGCCCAGGGAGGAGCATGCCAGTCCCAGTAGAAGTGAAGGTGACAGGCTACACACAGAGACGCTGGGAGGCGCCCCTAGAGGCTGGTGCTCCTGAACTCAGGTCCCGTGAAGTAGCGTCTCCCTAAACGTAAGTGTACTCCTTGCCCCAGCGCCAACCACATCCCCATTCACCTGGACCATTGTGTATCCTCAGCTGCAGCAAATGGGGTCTTGCGGGTCTCCTCTGTAGTTGGGTGCATCAGGCTGGAGCGCTGGGATGGCATGGGCACCGTTGAGTCCCAGTACCGTGCCCTCCCACCTCAGGCCTAGGCCAACCCACCGGGCAGCACCGCCCAAGTCCACGTGTCAGTCCCAGTGCTTCCGTCTAGCTCTCCTAGGACGTGTCGCCCCCGGAATTGAGTCCCGCCCCACTGATGTCTGGGGAGGCAGGGCCACAGACCTTCCAGCTGCTCAACCCAGGCTTGCCACTGGGACTTCCCGCTGGGGGGAGAGAATTCCCTGGGGGATTGTAGCCCCAGACCTGTGGGCAGAGACTTTCAGAGCAGTATGGATGAGGGGTTCTGGTCCTATCTACAAGCCCTGGGGGTAGTGATGGAAGAGCTCATAGGGCTGTGTTATGGTCCAGTAAAAATTAGGGACTAATCCATAACTAAATGCAAAGATAGTAAAACTTTAGGACCAACTTTAAAATGGAACTTTGGGGGCAAAACTGAGCTGGTGAGAGCGCTAAGGGCAGTGAGGGTGGTCACTGGGCCCCCACACAACTGCAGGCCAACTGGGACACACCCACTAAAGGCTTCCCGCTGCACTCAGAATCTCCACTGTCTCTTCACCCTCCACAGAATGCCTTCCTAGCGTTCAACAGCCCAGCCCACAACAGGTCTTCACTGAAATACATATTTGTATTAAAAATAGTAGGGAGCTAGGACGTGGTGGCACATACGCGATCAAGAGGCAGAGGTAGGCAGATCTGTGAGTTCTAGATCAGTCTGATCTACAAGAGCTAGTTCTAGGACAGCCTCCAAAGCCACAGAGAAACCCTGTCTCAAAAAAAAATAAAATAAAGATAAAAATATTAGGACCTGAGGTTAGGGTGTGCTCGGCATATGTGAAGCCCTAAATTCAATTCCCGGTATTGGAGAAAAACGATCAGTACCTCAAAGCAAGGTCCATCTCCATCAGTTATCCAGTAGGACGCAAAGATGATGGCAGAGAGAGACTTGCTTCCCTAGCAGGCCAGGCATTGCTAGTTAGTTAGTGTAGGGTACTAGTAACTCTGTTCTCTTCTAGGTGTCCACTTTATTAAGTGACTCTCTTCAGAAACGGTGTACAAAAGATCCAGAATCACCAAGCAGGCAGGGCAGCGTTGGGCATTTCTGGAGGGGTCACTATTCTGGGGACAGGTGGATGAAAGTAGAGAAAGGACCCACAAGACACACAAAGTCTGCAGGAGCAGCCACGAAGTGTTGGGTATACATTTCAGGCCAGAGCATAAGAAGTAGGGTGGACGGTTATGCTGCCAGAGTTGACAGGGCAGGTGAGGCCAAGGTACAGGGGAGACTTAACAGCAAATTCTGAGGACAGAGTCCCTACCCCCACAGCGTTGGGTTACCCTGACCACCAAGTGAATAGCTAGTTGAGTAGCCAGGGTAATGGGGGTGGGGGTTGGGGCCCGCCGAGACCCCAGTATCACCTAGGCCCTGGGGCAAGAGAGGTCTGAATTCTTGGGCTGTGGATAGGGATTGGGGACCTTCCTCCCCAGGCTCCCATAGTCACTGAAGCAGAAGGTATGAGTACAGCCAGAACTGCCTGAAAGAAAATGACATTGGCTGGAAGGTGAGAAACCTCAGCGGTGGGCAGTAGCTGAGGTGGACATTCTTTAGTTGATACTGTGAGCTGCCCCACACCCAACTGGCAAAAACCATCTTTGTGTTCACGTTGGAAAGTTCCACATGGAGATAAGTAATGCCTGTCACAGTCTGCCAAGCACAGGCTTCTAGCTCCATCGAGAGCAATGGCTGTGGCTTTTGAGTGCATCTGTTTTGTTATACAAATCTGGCAGGGGGAGCCATGCCACATGTCCTTGAGCTGAGTGACTCACACACCTTGCAGCTTATGTCATCCTGGCTTTCTACTGAGAAGCCAGGCAGTGTTGAGTCCAGATGATTGGGTTTGTGAATAAAAGCAACTCCCAGACCCTACCCTGGGCCCAAGTCTCTTCCAAGACTCCACTTTAACCCCTGCCTCCTCTGTAACCCAACACACACAGTTCCAATGATGATTAGTCTGAATAAACCAGACTGAATGGTTAAATTTTACTACACTGTTCCTGACTGGCAACTGTAAGAAATAAGAAACAAGACTTCAGGAGCCAGATGTAATGTTGCATGCCTGCTGCACAGGTATAGCCAGATGGGGCTGCAAAGGAAGATCTGAAAAGGTAAAAAAGCTTTTGGTACCGAGCATAATCTGCATCCACCTTCTAAGCCAAATGTGTACATGGTACAGTTCAAGCAGCAAGGTCTGAGTCTACAGAAAGCCAGACAGTGAACACCATAAGGACCAAAGATGCTTGTATGCAGCCAGTTTGGTTCACAAAATGATCTCTGGTGCTCTGGGAAGAGCTCTTTTTAGGGGGTGCTAAGTGCCTTCAGCTGAACCTTTTTTTTTTTAGTTTTTGAGACAGGGTTTCTCTGTGGCTTTGGAGGTTGTCCTGGAACTAGCTCTTGTAGATCAGGCTGGTTTTGAACTCACAGAGACCACCTGCCTCTGCCTCCCGAGTGCTGGGATAAAAGGTGTGCTGCCACCACCCAGCTTCAGTTGAACCTTGTAAAAGCCCAAAGTGCTGAGAAAGGCCACCACCACCTCTACTACTCCCTCACTCTCCACACCAGAGTTCCAGGCGACAGGACGGCCTGTTTGACTTTTGAGAACCAGTTAGAAGGGTTTATCAGATATCTGACCTACAAGAGGGATGATTCCTGTGTATACAGGTGTGCATGTTTGTGGGTGAAACCTGTAGATGTATTTAAATAGGAGAGGGTTAGTCAGGGCTGTTTAGAGACTATCTACCAGGCACTTCAGGTTCCGCCTTAGGAAACTGGCAGGTGTGCATCCGTGGAATAGTAGATTCATGGAGTGGACAGTCACATGCAGGAGAATCTACTACCCTGTAGTAACCAGCCTCCAAAAGCCCCCAATCCAGAGTCTCTGTCTGCCAAACCTGCAGAGAAGCTGGGCAAGAGGAGTTTCACTAGGACCTGCATCTAAGGAGGAGCTCTCCTCAAGTCACAGCAAGTGGCTGGACAGACAGCTCAGACCCCTTGTTTCCACACAGGACCTGGGCTTGCTTTCTAGAACCAACATTGCTGCTCACAACAGTCCATAATTCCAGTCCTAAGTGACCTAATACCCTCTTCTGACTTCTGTGGGCACTAGGCACACAAATGGTACACGGATACACACTTCCAGGCAGAACACTAAGACACATAAAGGTTTTTAAAATCTAAAGAGAAAAAAAAAAAAAGAGAGAAGTCATTTGCAGGCATCATCAGTAGTCTCGTCTCTTGGCTACAGTTGGGCACAAGCAGTTCTGCAGTCTTCTTCTGTATTAGCGTCACACTGGGCTCTTAACCTGGTCTTCAATTAGGGGCACAGATGAGATGTAGATACAGCAGACTTCCACAACCCTTTAAACATTCTTACCCACCCGGAGGCCACACATTCCTGCCCTACCAGTCCTCCAGATTCACATGTAACCCCACTGGTGGATGGGTAGTTGCCCAGGACTAGTACCACTAGAGCTAGTCTGCTTCCAGGACAGGCAGACCATCTCAGGACCTATTATCCACAGTGCACAGAACTGTGTCAGAGTCTGTGATAGGTAGTAACACCAGGGGCCATTCAAATTCTGTGCTCTTTTATGCAAATATAAAGAAGTCTCAAGTCAGGATGGCATCCCAAAATTGAGGGAAAACATTCAAGATAGGCAGGTAGTCCCCTAAACCCTTCAGACTCAACATGCCCGAGTTCACATTCAAGCATACCAGAGATCACTGCCACTGAAAAGTTTAGCCTTACCCTCTGGGAGCCATGAGGCTAGCTGTGACTGTAAGACGGTCAAGAGGGCCACATCTCGGCACTGCTATGAAGGGAGGACCCAGGGATGTCATGCCCCACCACCCAGTGCAGGGTGCCTCTGCAGTGTGCTGTTTGGTGCACCCTTGGAGATTTCCTCTCCCTGCATTTCCCCCAGGCCTGACTGAGAAAATGGCAATGGGGGGTCCACACTGGCCAGCAGCATGGGAGCCACTGCATGCTGCATGCTGCACAGGGCACCCACAGCCATCTCATCCTGGGGCCCAGGAGTGCTGCAGCTGCCAGCTGAGTGCACTGGCACCATGCTGTGGCACAGTAGTGCTTTTCTAACATCTGGAGGCTTTCTTGTAACTGCTGAGTGGGGACAGAACAAAACCAAAGTGTAGTTATATCTCCCTGATATTCCAAGTCTAACACAGTGACTTGCATGAGGTACCTCTCCAGGGAAGGGGGAGGAGGGAGCTTTCAGACAACCATTCTGGAAAAAACAAAAACAAAAACATGAAAGCTTTTGCTAACAAATTCATAGCAGGCAGTCAGAAGCTGCCTTACCTGTATGTCTCAGATGATGTGTGGCTCTAGCAAGTTAAAGATTTATACAGACTCTACACATCTATTGCTACCAAACCAGCTTACTAAGTTCCAGAAAAAAGCCACACCTTTGTGAAACAGGCAAAAATACACATGGTGTCAGAACAAGACATGTCAACAAAACAACAGTGAATGAAGGCTGGTTATCAGACTGTACCCATGCATTGTGTCCCTTGACACATGGAATTTGGTCTTTTGTTCATTCTGAGACTGGACATCAATAGCCTGTAAGTGAATCCCATTTCTTTCTCTTGGTGACATGAGTGTCTTTATCACGGAACATGCAAGAGTCCTTCTGGAAGCCTGGTTCTTCCTCTCTAAAAAGTAATAGCACAGAAGAAAATAAAGACATCACAAAGCCACCATTCTTCAGCTACATACATTGTAGAGGTCTCAAACACCAACTCCAAACAATCAAAGTGACAAAACAAATCATCTTTAGTGTATAATAATCACCATGCTTTAGAAAATTCCAAACTGAGGTTACTCCTTGTACAGCTCTATGATGTTGGGACAGAGTACCAGAATTTTCTCAAGTCTCATTTATTTCAAGGCACTATCAAAAGGTGCAAAAAGAAATAAAGCTACTTTGTAAAAATCCAAAAACACTTTTTTTTTGAGAATCAAAGGAGACCAGTAGAAAAACTAATCTATCCTGAATGTTCAAGTAGCTTAACTTCATTTGACTGCTGCAACAGAAGTCGGCATGTCCTCCCGTGGAAGGGGACTGCTGAGCACTGGCAGATCTGACCTCTGTGCCACTGGCTGATTATGCTACTGACTGAAGTGGTTAAGGTGTCAACATCTTGTCTTATAGCCATTTAACATTTCAGGTGTTCGTGCAACAAGCCCGTTTTGCATATTGTGGCTAACCCTGCAGAGGGAGCTTCCCCTTACTACCCATGTTATGCCTTCTAGTTTTAAGAACACATCAAACTGATTGGCTATATTAGCGATCTTAAACATATTAATAAAAGATACAAATATGCTGGCTATCTGGTGCCTTTTTTGTTTAGGAAAGGATCTCATATATAATACAGCCTAGGCTGGGCATGAAAAATCCTCCCTCAGCCTCATGAACACTGTAATTACAGGCGGGAGCAACCACACCTAGCTTTATATGGTGCTTTAAAAGCAAATACTGTATCTTTATTGATACCCCTCCCCAACTTCTGCTTCATTTAACTTACTAGCTACCTGAAAACTGAAGCTTCCTTTCCCTTTACCTTTAAAAAACATT